AGGAAAGCCTCCCTGGTCTTCAAGTCCATTCTTGGGAGTTAAATGTACCTAATAAATGTTACTGATGTGCAGTTGAATAGATCCCATGGTGATGGTCGGGAGAAAAAGTCAGGGAGCTGTGTTATAACTGAGGTTTTGCACACAGAGATGTGGAATAAAGCTAGAAAAAGGCTCTAAATTATATGTAACGCTCCTAATAAAATAGTGGTAAATGCTTACACACCCCAAAACATAATCTTTATTCCTGCCATTCCCTTTGAAGAGATGGCTTTTGGTCACACAGCAGAAAAGTTTAAAATAAAAACTCACAATCAAACTTCAGTGAAAAAAAACAGCCCTTTTCACCCAGAACCTGTAAGAATATCCTCTGCTTTTCTATCCACGCCAGGTATGACAACTTATCATCCAGTGCTAGACGTTATCACAGTGGGTTTTCCGTATTAAAAAAAAAGAAAAAACTAAGAAATAAGGTTTTATCCTAGGAGCACAGCAATCCCATATATTGAGATTGACAATGATAAAGAAATTTAAGCTTTGTTTTTCAGACCAAATCTAATAACTAACTGATCTTCACAGTGATGGTCCTTTCAGCTTGAATGAATGCAATCTGTTTCTACAGGGTGAGTGAGGTGGGGAGACGCCTCTTTGGGGAAACTTAAAACCTGTTATGAAGCACTGCTAGGCCACCATTAGATCACCACGGACCACTACATTTCAGTTATTTCACTCTTGGAAACTGAGGGTCATCTACAATAATAATAAACAATTCTTCTTTGGGATTCCTGGACCTTGAGCCAGACTCTTAACCCCTGTGAGCCTCGGTTTCCTCATCTGTAAAATAGGGATGTTGGGCTGAAATATCTGTCAGATTCCCTTCTCAGTTTTCTATTTCTTGGATATTCCACCAGATTTGGTAAGGATCACTATATTTTGGAACCTGAAGAAACTTACTCACCCAAAGATGTGCAACCCAGGACATTTTCCAAACACCTGACCAGTGCTTCAATGTCACTGCCCTGTCAAAACAAGAGAGATTTTACTTCCCTGTGTGG